GGAGTTAAGATGGGATATCCCGGGTCACTATGGGAAGAATGTATCCAGAGGCCCAGCTTAAATTATGTGGCAGGAAGTATGTGTGTTAGGAAATAGCCTAGAACTCAGACTGTCTTGCTTCATAGGTTTTGAAGTACATTGACATTTTACATGTAGAATATGGAAGGCAGGATCTAATCTAAGAGGCAGAGTTACCTGGCTAGACACATGAACAAACATGTCAGCACAAGGAGAAATGGAGACAACCTGGACTATAGGGCTCTTGTTCCCTGGCCACGAAATTGCTTATTGAAGACATTTTTAGAATGTATCTGTAGAATGGCTATGTAATTGTCTGCGGCTGGTAAATATGTGCCTGGCTGTATGTCTAGGAGAGGTGGATTCTGTTTGCTTTGAAAGATCAGAAGTGGATCACAGCAGATGAAGTGGCACCATTCAGCACTTTCCAGTCAGTCTTGCAGTATTCTAACTAGACCCCTGCCTGCAGGGCACTGTAGCTTTGTCTTTTTCTTATTTATCTCCTGGCTGTGTCTGCCACAGCAGGTCTCAGTGAATTAATAGGTAGAAGTACTATGATCTTAATATTAGGCAGATGGAGAATTGCTCGAGATTTTAAAAAATGAATATTTAGAATGGTCAAATATATAAATACCAATTCCAAAGTGCCAGAAGTCATCAACTTTGATGCAAATGTTTATAGAGCCAGGAGTTTAATGAGACATTCTTTTGTTGAAGTAGTAAAAGACCGTGGTTCAGAATCATTTGGTAGTTATGTATAAAAATTCAGATACAGGTTCTCTTCACCCCCCTCCAATCTGGCTTTCCCCTTTTTTCTCCTTCCTCCTCTTCTCCTCCCAGTTTCCCTGCATCCCCAAAGCTGCTAGGAAGGGATTTACAGTTGACCCTTGAATAGCATGGGTTTGAACTGTGCGGGTCCACTTATATGCATATTTTTTTCAGTGCTATAAATGTATTTTCCTTATGATTTTCCTAATGTTCTTTTCTCTAGCTTACTTTATTGTAAGACTACAGTGCATAATACATATAACATACCGAATATGTGTTAATCAACTATGTTATCAGTAAGGCTGTCGGTCAACAGGCTGTTAAGTTTTTGGCAAGTCAAAAAGTTATGTGCAGATTTTCAACTACGTGTGTTTTGGTGGAGGGATCAGCACCCCTAACTCCTGCATTGTTCAAGGACCAACTGTGTTTTCCTTTCCAAACCATTAACTCACTACTGCTTGGCACATAATATTCTTGTCAGTGAATAGCCAGTTCTCTTCAGGTGATTCAGAAATGGCTATTTCTGAAAACTTAAATATTGATAATGATCAAGTCAGGGATAAGATGAGATAAATCTTATATTGCCTCCTGTCAGAACTTGCGAGGATCTAAAAGTGTGTGCTCTTTATTTCCAAAGTATAGAACAGTAGTCTCTGTTTTGGTTTTGCTCTGGGTATATGGCAAGTGTGCCCTCTTACATCAGCCTAAATCTTATTATACTACCCTACCTTTTGTTAACAATGCCTCTCACCTCTGGTCAGTAACTATCAGAGTTGACAGAGAAGTGGGGAGAAGGGAATAAATATTTCCTGATTGCTTACTGTGTGCCAGGATTAGAGCCTACTTCTTTACGTGTGTTATCTCAATCCTCAAACTAGGCTAGATATGCATTATTCTTAATACAGTAATAGAATCTCAAAGAAATTAATAAATTTGCCCAGGGGCACAGAGCTAGCATTATAGTCAAGATTTGAATCAAGGCCTAACCCCAGAGTCCATGTTTTTTCATAATACCAGCTCTAATAAGATCACTGTAAGGACCAAACCTGGAATAAATTCTGGGGCATTCCTTGTCTTCTATCCTGCATCACTGGATTTCTATCAAGATGAAATCTGCTTAATGTAAGCAGCAAAGATTGTTTTGACAGGAAATGTCAAGAATCCATTAATCAACCCTATGTCACCTCTGTGTTTCTCTCTATTCAGATTGGACTGCTCCTTCTGTCATGGGAGGGGGAATCTAGAGGAGGATAGGATGACAGAAGGAGCAGTCCTGCCACTTTTGTGTGAGGTGGGGTGGGATTTTGAGGTAAAGGAAAATTGACTATCATGTAGATGTACATGTGAACCTTAAAGAATTTTTAGCTTCAGTCAGGAAGGCTACTGTAAGCCATCTCTTTGGATCCGAGCCCAGCTACCAGGAAAAATCATCTACTTGATGCACTAAGAACAATAAGAAAAGTTTCCAGAAGAGTCAGAAAGATCAAATTATAAAAACTAAAAATAATAAAAAGAAATAGAATAAAGCTACCAGGTGAAGAAGACAAAGCTGTGAATGCTGGCACAAGAGATGAGTTAATGAGGCTCCTTTCTTTGAATGGGGCCATAATGGCTATTCAGTTCAGCAATCGTTTAGTGTGTTGCTACGAAGTGCCAGGCCTGTGCAAGGGACTCTGTAGAGCTAACAGTAAGGCCTAGGGAAATTTAAAGGCTGATGGGGACAAAATAAGGACCGGCAACTGCAATAGCAAGTGGAGCAGGGGCCATAACGGATGAAGCCATTTCAGTACAGAAAATCAGACTGAGCTGTTTTATTCTGGTCCATCATTAGGATGCTTTGTGACCCTGAGCAAGTTATGACTCTGGAACTCAGTTTCTTCATGAGCACTTTGCAAGGATATTGTACCTTGCAGGAATATTGCAACAGCAGCAGCAAAAGATGTATGTAAAATACTTGACACATAGTAGACTTTAATAAATGGTCACAATTTGATTAGTGCTGTCAGTGCCTGATCTTGATTCCTTATTTGTGGGAGCTAGACATCCCTCACCCTGCTGTAGCTACGTGGTCTGGGTCTGGGGCTGGGGCTGGGATGCCAAAGCCCAGAGGAAAATGGAACTAATTTCAAATAAGTGGCAAGTTTATGAGTCAAATGGTCAAGCAGAAGGTAGGGACCAAACCCAGGGTGGCGACACATCTGAAAGAGCCCAGGCCAGGCTGCCAGCTGGAAACCTAAGGGAGTCATGGGTGGCAGAATCAGTGGATGAGCAGGTCAGGGCAGTCTAGAGTATTGGTTTTCTGAGTTCCTCCACCTTACATTCCGTTTAGTGATTGAGGCAGGAAGCTGTATATCCCAGGTGGATTTGAGGTTCCCACAGAGAATAGACAAGAGTAATTACTGTCCAAAAGGAGTGAACCCTCCTGGTGGTAGGTATGAGGCAAGTGAGGAGTACCAGCAACAAACTCAGAGGCTTAGGGCTCTAATAATAGGTTCTCCACTGTGAACTTGATTCTAGTCAGAGAGAAACCAGCTCTGAATTTCCCAGGTTCTGCATGTTTGCTTATTAATTGAGATGATTTTCATTTTTATTAAAAATAACATTTTTTTGTCTTTAATGGTTATTTTTGAAAATGCAGAAAATATAAATAAAAAATCACTTGTAATCTCACCTTCCAGATGTAACCATTGTTAATATTCTTGTGTTTCTTTTGATGCATATTGATATACGTATTCATGTTCATTTAAATAAAATATTAGGTGTTATGAGATTATTTTTTCATTTAAGATGTCATTCCCTATTTTTATCTTATTTTAGTGGATGCACGGTAGTCTATTGTATAAATTCATTTAATTTCCCACTTTGGGGCATTTACCCTTTATCTAATTTTCTGCTATTATAAATTTTGTGGTAAACACTTTGTTGATAAGGCTGTGGAGGTGTACACAGTTTGTCAGTGAAGTAGATTGCTAGGTCAAAGGATGAGCAGAATTCTAAGGTTTTTGATTTCAACAAATCATCTTCCATGAAGGTTGTATTAAATTGGCACTCCTGCTGGCTAGTATATGCAAAATTTTCCCAAAGCATCAACAATAGTGGATAATAACATGATAAGGGTGTGTATCTAGTTTGGTAGATAAAATGCAATATCTGTTTTAGTTTTATGTGCTGATGATTTATAAAAGTAGCTCCACCCCTCACATCAGTCCCCTTTACATTTGCCATTCTTTCCTTCCTCCCTGACGGTGGTTTTCTCTTTTGCAGCATTGCTGGGAGCCTGGTGTATTCCTACATCACTTTCTCTGAAGAGCAGCTGAGCAAACAGTCGGAGGCCAGTAGTAAACTGGACATTAAGGGGAAAGGAGCAGTATGACCAGAGGATTGCTTTGACGACGTAGGCCCAAGGTTTTGATCAACTCTGAACACTGGCGATTCTTATACAGATACTGAGGTGTCCTGATTATGGAGAAAATACCATTCCTTTGCACTTACACAATCTGATGATTGATTGCTGCCTTTTAAAATTTTATGAAACTTATAATTGACTCTTAAATATGCCATTTGAATTAATTTATATGAGACTGGAAAATGCACCGGGCTTTTTAATTTATTTTTCTTCTGTGCCAACAGTTGAAACATCAGTGTTTTGAAAATATTTTATTCCATAGTTTGATTTCCAGGTGACCCTGAGAGCTGCATATATAAAGTCCTCCAACTGGAGCCCCTTCGTTCAAGTCGTTGCTGCGTCTTGAGGCAGTTTTAGCCTGCCTTCTACTGGAAATGCAGCCGAGTGTCTGAAATTTCTCTTCTTTGAATTATATTTCTTAATGATTGCATTTTTTTCATAAAGATATATTACTGCATTTGCCAAAGATGACAGCTTTGGCACTAAAAAAATATGTGGGGCTTTGAAGTGTATTGCTTTCCATGTTGGCTTTCTTGAAGATTCATCGGATGAGCAGAGCGCAGTCCTTGAAAATATGCTGTTCCCTCTTTCTTATGTAGGATGGGGATAATGAAGGGATGGAGGAAGTAGGCATTTTACTCATTTTTTCATCTATCTGATTTATTCATTCAACTAAAATGTATTGAGTATGTAATATGTGCCAGGCATTGCACTAAGTGCTGGTGAGGCAGAGATGTTTAGGGAAGTAATTGAATGATCTTACTTCTTCTATAGTGCCAAAGGGTGTGACAGAGAATTTAGCTCTGTTGATACATTCAGAGGACGTTGTGAGTATGAACAAGTCACAGAACTTAATTTTTAGTTCTCAGAAACTGCAAATCTATATATAGGGTTAGGAGCACCTGCCCTACCCATCCCACAACAGTATGAAACCGCATGCTAAAATGTGAGATCAGGTGCTGCATATTGAAGAGCTACATTTTGTAAACCAGGCAGCTCAGTCCTTCTCTTGTGAAAATGGCAGGTAGGCAAGGTGACTAACTAGCTATTTCTCTATTCTTCTCTTCTGGGTTTAGTTCCTACTCTTTTTACTTTTCTTTGAATCAATATGAGTAGCTCTTAACATTTCTGAATACACCGCTTTGAGGGGAAAGCTTGGTTAGATATTTCTCTGTATTGTCAAGGCTTAGTCTTTCTCTGGCAGTGTCAGTGTGAGAGCCATCACCTTCCTTTCTCCTTAAATGGCATGAGCGTACCTCTCACCTACATCCCATGTCCCCTGGATCACTTAATGAGCATACCAGCTTCTCTCAAGACCAGTGCTGCATCCTGGCAGAGCAGCTGTGAATGGGCATTGTCTGAATTGCCCTTTGAGTGGGGCGAAGTATTAACTCAAAGTCCTGTGACCTGGCTCAGAGACATCCATTGACTTTGGGGATGAGTATTTGCTCAGGCCAGTTGTGCAGTGAGCTTACAAGAGGCTGGGTACCTTTGCCCTGGTGCACACACTACCTTCAGTTTCATTGGGTTTAGAATCCACCAGGCTCCATTGACCTAAACAGTTAGTATTTTGGTGCCTCAACAGGCGACCTGGTAGGTTTTGATTTTATTTTTGAAGAATTATATTGAAGTCATTTTCATATTTATGTTTTTCCTTTATTTTGGTTTGTCTTTAATAAAGCCTTACCAGTGGTGCCGGGTCTCTAAAATTAGCCTCATGGCCAACTTCTAAGTTATAAGCTCCATGTAAGAGGTCCTAAGGCTCACTTTTTTCCAGTATCATTTAATCTGAGAAAAAAAACAGTGGGAGAATAGGACATTACTTTGTGTAAAATAGCTCTTATTATTCCTGTTTTATCAGAGAAAACAAGATTCAAAGGAAGTAGGAGATTTGCTAATAAGTGAAAATTTATGTTTTTTCCATTGAACCATGCTGCCATCCTCTGAGGGTGTGAGGAAACAGGGATGCTAGCTGAGTTAGCTGGAACTCTTTCAAGGAGGCAAATGGTTGATTGAATTTGGAGTCAGAGGAATAGGCTTTGCAAATCAGGGGGAGTAATGGGTCACTCTATATACCAGAGTTTTTATCTAACTTCCAGGCTGGCCTCAGTTGATATGCACTTCTGACTGTGACTGTTGTCTGCCACTGCCTACTTTTACCTGGATACAGTGGAAAAGCATTGTGAGAGCTAATTTTAGCAGTTTTGTTCCTTCTGTTAGCTACACGAAGGAAGGAACTCTATCATGAGAAATAATTTGCATTGTAGAATTTCTTGTCATGAAAGGCCTTTGGATGTGTTTAGAGGTATTGAGCTAGAACTTTACCAGGTGTTGAACTGCATCTTGGAGGTCAGGTTCCCCTGAAGATCTGTCATCTCTCCAGGTTTATTTGAGAAAATTACGTGTAGTTATTGTTTCATTACATGCACATGACCTCAGGGCCCCTAGCCTGTGCTGAGCTTTCTGACTGACCAGAAACAAAAGAACAACTTAGAGCCTCTGCTCTGTCCATGTACTGATTCCTAGATGCCCCCTTCAACTGCCACCAACATTTAAAGGTAAGAGAAAGCAGCCTGGGGAAGTTGGAGATTGAATAAACTGGCAGTCACTTTTGGAATTTGTTTCAATTATGTGCAGGCTTGGTTATGGTACACTAGAGATTTACCTGGTACTCTAACATCGCCCAGAATGTCTGGATTTTTACCCCAAGGTTGATATCTTAAGGTAAAAAAAATTCTTTAACCTATTACTTACCTCCTAGGGAGAAAAAAAAAGGCAGTATAGAATTAAACCCTTAATTTATCCTATGAAACAGATGAGCTATAATGAGAATTCTGAAAGCCAATTTTTGTGACTATTGGCTCTTCTTTTTGAGTTAATGACAATGAAGTCCTCTTTGGCCAGTCTGCTTTTAGTCAGTGCCAGACTGATTCGAATAACTCAGATTGTCCAGGCTTTACATCGTTGACATGTCAAGTGATTTTTAATTACCTTATATGGCTGTTGACTTTATGAGTTAGTCATTTGTAGAATCCAACTTGCACTTGGGGTAAAAAAAAAGTGCTTTTACAAGTTTTCCATAGTCTTATTGTATCAAGAATCCACGAGAAGTTCGGGTCAGTAAAGTTGATATAAGATCTTCATGGAAAGAATGGTAGAGTTTCACATTTGACTAGTTTGGAATAGTAGCTAGAATTTTGGACCTATCTTTGCTCTTGTTATAATGGCGTCATTCAATGAGCAAAGATTTACTGAGCATCTATAAAATTATACTTAGAGACTGGAATTGTTTTGCCAGTATTCTATTTAATACATGCACTGCGGAATTATAATAATTTCATAAGCCAATAGTATACAGGATGATGTCTCTTCATAAGCCAATAGCAAAATAACATACTCCAGAGCAATGATAGATTAATTACACTATTTTTCCATGCAAGGAAAACCGAAAAAAAAAAAGTCATTTAGTTGAGGTGTACCTTTTCTACCAGGTTGGCTCTCGGGAAAGACAACTTAACCAACAGAGAGCTGACTTCCAGCTGCCAGCACAAAAAAAGACAACAAAACAAACAAAAATCCCTTGTTGCTAGAGCATACTGCTAGGGAACCAGGTCCTGGTGTTGGTGGGCAAGACATTCTCGTCTGAGGGGTGCTGCAGGCCTTCATCTCTGCTGGTAAAAGAGCTGCTGTTACCATGGCAGGAGCTAATGCCCCAGAGGTCTTCAGAGAACTGTTTAGATCAACAACGGGTTGCCTCGCCCAGACAAACACTCTCCAATAGACCTCATAAACTCTCCTCACAATCACTTAGACTGCCATAGTTGCTCCTTCAGATGTTCTTTTTATCAGTAAACCCCCAGGGGTACCCCTCAGCAGATGAGCTGCTGAGTGCTCATCAAGGACTACAGATAAGATGATGATGTCATGACATATCTTACATCACTTTTATATCAAAGTAACTTTACTCTTACAACCTCATTTTTTGTCATAAACAAGTGGATTTGAAACTCTATCAAACCAATACACAGCACGAAGCTCTGAGGAAGCTGGGATGCATAAGACATGATTCTTGCTGTAAGTAACACATAATTAGCCAGATCCTGAGAGGAAGAAGCAGATGAAAGGAATCAGTGATTTGTGAGTTGCCTGCAGTTATCAGTATCACTGATTAGGGGCACCCCACCCAATGAGCTGAAGCATTTTTTAGATAACCTAAGAGGACTTTTATAACTCATACTAGTCTTTTAGCTGTGAGATGTGCCAGACTGCTAGAATTCCGTGAATACCCTGAGTCGCTCCTCCCTCTACTGCACAAATTCTTGCTTCCCCATACCTTTGTATAATTGGTTCTTCCTTATCAATAAAGGTGTAATTGATTTTTCATCATCGAGGAAAAACTAATCAGAATAAATGAGACAGTGGACATGAAACTACTTAGCACAATGCCTGGTACATATTAGGCACTTGGCAGATTTTGTTATTCTCATTATTTTATGATGAGACTGTAGGCAAAACAAGATTCTTAATTTGTGCTCCTTAAATGCTAGAGGCCTGGGCAATGTACGTGTTTCTTGAAAAATGTGACCTTGTATTTTGCTTCCAGAATGCTTAAATAACGGTTTCTATTCATGGTTTTTTGTTTTTTGTTTTTTTTAATACATACTGGATATAATTGTGGCCATTGTGTGATGCAGGTGCTTCCATCAGTCTTTAAAAAGAAATTACTGTCACATTTTTTTTTAATGCCTGCAGCACCTGGTATTCATTCCTAGGTGGTCTCCCATCCAAGTACTAACCAGGCCTGACCCTGCTTAGCTTCAAAGATCAGATGAGATCAGACACATTCAGGGTGGTGTGGCCGTAGTACTGTCACATTTTGATAGTAAATTTCAAAAAAAAAAAAAATTACTTTACCTTAGAGGAAGATAATTACACTTCAGAATGGCGATTCAGTTAAAACTCTTCCAGTTTGCCATCTTAATGTAGCTCCTGTACAGGCCGTTTATTCCTTCTTCCCTTCTCTGAATGTTAAATGCATTGACGACATGCTATTCATCCCAGTTAGTGTTTGTGAACCTCTGGCACCATCGCTGTTTTCTAAACCTGTCTTCTAGTTCTTGGCATTCGGATGCCACTTCATTGTGGTATGAGGAGACAGTCTAAGGTGGGTCTTTTTTTAAACTTTCTTTTTTGAAAATACTTTTTAAACTAAATCTACTGGTTAGATTTATTGACTCACAAAAATGTTTTTAGAGATTATTTTGTTCATAAATGTTTTTTGTCATGCTGATGATCAACTGATTTGTGTCTTCAAATGTTGACCTATCACAGTATTTTTTCAATATAGATTCTATTTACCAAGTGACCATTTTAGTGTTTTTAAGAGGTACTGAGGATGGAGATATGTAAATCAGGTGACATAAACATGAAAATTATGTGCCTAAATATTTTTGTAAAGGTGTCAAATAAATACTTTTTCCTGAACCACATGTATTCAAATTCCTTTAAGTGTACACAAGGACAATCAAGAGCCAGAAGTCTGCCCACATTTAAGAGGATGGCATCCAGTTAGTTGATTGAGACCCAGTAATAGAGAAGATACTGTTTACTGTTGTGATATTGTGGTTTATAATAAGAAATATATATTTGGTCTTTGTCCCTGTTCCTGGCACATAGCTCCTGAAACCCTTGTTATTTCCTATATAAGACTTATAGGGACATCTTTTGTTACAATATTTAGTTTTGTTCCCAGTTCCTGAAATAGCTTCAGAGCCCTAAAGGTGAAATGGGTGTCTTTTGTTATTCATAATGAGCCTGTTTCAACTACTCCAGAGTTTAATGAGGTGAGTTTTGGAAAACCCCCCAAGAATGGGAGCTGGTTGCCAGGGAACCAACCACATGATGAAACTTTGTGTTGAAACTTTCAGCCTCCTCCCCCATCCCCACAGGTGGAAGGGAGCGGGGCTGGAGGTTAAATCAGTGATTTAATCGATCATGTCAACATAATGAAGCCTCCATAAAAGTCCCAGAACTATGAGGTTTGGACAGCTTCTGGGTTGCTGAACACATGGAGGTACCAGGGTAGGGTTGGGGTGGTGGTATGCCTGAATAGAGCATGGAAGCTTAGAGCCCCTTCCCACATACCTTGCCCTATGCATTTCTTCTATCTGGCTATTCCTGAGTTATATTCTTTTATAATAAGTAGCTAATTGAGTAAGTAAACTTTTCCTGAGTTCTCTGAACCACTAACAAATTAATTGAACCTGAAGGAGGAGGTACAGGAAACCTCCAATTTATAGCTTGTCAGTCAGAAACACAGTTAACAACCTGGCCTTGTGACTTACATTGGAAGTGAGGGGCAGGATGTCTGACTGAAACAATCTTTGAGATCTGATGCTAACTTCAGGTAGCGTCAGAACTAAATTATACTACACCCAGCTGGTGATGCAGATATGCTTGGTAGTGTCGAGGAAATTTCCAAACTTAAGAGAATTTTTATGCGTTTATTTGAGCCAAACTGAGGACAGTTGCCAGGAAGAATGGCAGTTTTGCAGCTTATTTTATACGCTAGAATAAAAGGAGACTTTCGGAGAGTTACATGAAATCCATTGGTGGTAGGTTAAGAGAGCAGGAGAAAAAAGCAAAGTGGAGAAATCTCCAGGATTGAATAAAAAGTAAAGCGGATAGACACATCTTTCACATTAGTGGGTACAGGATAGTTAATAACACAGTGCACAGAGATGTTTTTCAGGGAACAAGATAACAATGAGGGGTTCTATGGTCTCCTGCTCTGCTGCCTGTGGTGTGCCCTGAGGGGTATGGAAAAGGATGTTATTCTGATATTTCAAAGATATACTATCTTAGATGCAAAAAGACAATAGACAGGCTTAGTTAAAGATTGACCTCTGTCAAGGGAGCTACAGGCCTAGGATGTAACTAACTACTGTGACCTGCTTCTGGGAATTTTTATGTTCAGACCATCTTATGTGGTTACTTTTGGTCTCCAAGTGCTGAAGGCCTGCCATGTAGGCCTCTCCTGAGTTTGTTAGGTTTAGAATGTGGGCCTTTTTTTGTCCACAGTAGGGAAAAATCCTGTACATTTTGTACATGAGTGAAAGTTTAAACTGCTCTCTGCACTACAGCCAGTAAGTAGAGTGACAAAGAGCTGGGGCAAGAAAAACGACTTTATTTAGAAAGCTACTAAGCTGAGCAGATAGTAGATTAACATCCTAAAGAACCATCTTGAGAAAGTACAGAATTCAGGCTTCTTTTATGTCAGGGGATGAGGAAAACAGGAGGGTTTTGAGGTCAGGAGGTGATTGATGACCATAGACATCTGGACATCAGCAAAGGTCCAAGGGGGATGGTGAAATTGCTTTGCTTTTGGTCAACAAACTCCAGTTGTTGTGGTCCCAGTCATGAGATTCCTATAAATCTTTTGATCAACAATCATTATTTTTATATATACCTTCCATATCTCCTTGTGGAGGTATGTTTCAAGCAGGGAGGTTGTTTCAGTAATTCCTAGGCTGCAGGTTAGATCCTTTTATTGATTAGCATATCTCTGTAGAAGACTAAGCAAAAGTTACTAACTGACATTTTATGGGAACTGGGCAAGATAGAGTCAGAAACACATTTTATTCTGTCACAGGTTAGTGACCAGAAATAGTGAGGAGAGCATTGAAAGAAGACACAGGATTTTTTCCCTTTACAGTTATACTAGTGCTTTGCATTGTATATATGACTAAATATACAATGTCTTTGGCATACGTGTGGTAAATTCAAAGGAAAGAAATCGTAACACTTTCTCCTTTCAGAGTATTTCATCTGCTGGATCATGTGTCTAAGCTTCTTAGAAGATTTACTAGGAAATGACCCCCAAATAAAATATGTTCATCAAGAAGAATTTGGTACAAGCAGACTCAACAGAGGTAGAAGTACAATAAGGCGTTTTTAAAAAAATTGTGGTAAAATACACATAACATGAAATTTGACATCTTAATCATTTTTAAGTGTACAGTTCAGTAGTATTAAGTAGTATTAAGTCACAATGTTGTACAACTAGTCTCCAGAACTTTTTCATCTTGCAAAACTGAAATCCATACCCATTAAACAGCTCCTCATTTCCCCTCTGTCCCCCGTCCCCTGGCAACCACCATCTTTTCTGTCTTTATGAATTTGACTACTCTAGATACCTCATAGAAGTAAAATACAGTATTTGTTTTTTGTGACTGGCTTATTTCACGAACAGTGTCCTTTATATTCATCCATGGTGTAGCATGTGTCAGAATTTCTTTCCATTTAAGGCTCAATAATATTTCATTGTATGTATATATCACAGTTTATCCATTCACCCATTGAGGGACACTTGGGTTGCTTCCACCTTTTGGCTATTGTAAATAATTCTGCTAATTGTGGGTGTCTTAGTCATTTGGGTTGCTGTAACAAAATATCATAGACTGGGCAGCTTAAACAACAAACATTTCCCAGTTCTAGAGGCTGGGATGCCCAAGATCAAAGTTCCAGCAGATCTAGCATCTGGTGAGAGCCCACTTCCTAGGTCGCAGATGTCCATCTCCTCATATCCTTATATGGTAGAGAGCAGAGAGGAAGCAAGCTCTGTTTTGCCCCTTCTTATAAGGTCACTAATTCTATAAGGAGGGCTCCACCCTCATAACCTAATTATCTCCCAAAGCCCCACCTCCAAATACCATCATATTGAACATTAGGGTTTTAAGATATGAATTTTGGAGGGATGCAAAATCCATAGTAATGAGTGTACAAATATGCTTTCAATTCTTTTCGAATTGCTGGGTCATATGGTAATTCTTATTTTTAATTTTTTGAGGAACTGCTACACTGTTTCAATTGTGGCTGTACCATTTTACATTCCCACCAACAGTGCACAAGGGTTCCAATTTCTCCACATTTTTGCCAGCACTTGTTATTTTCTGTCTTATTGATAGTAGCCATCCCTGTGAGTGTGAGGTGATATCTCATTGTGGGTTTGATTTGTATTTTCCTAATATTAGTGGTGCTGAGTATCTTTTCACATGCTTGTTGGCCATTTATATACTTTCTTTGGAGAAATGTGTATCACATGCATTTTTAATTGGATCTTTTTGTTGTTGAGTTGTAAGTTCTTTATATATTGTTTTAGCCCCTTATCAAATATATTATTTGCAAATGTTTTCTCCCATTCTGTGGGTGCCTTTTCATTCTTATTGACTGTACCCTTTGATGCACAGTTTTAAATTTTGATATAATGCAAGTTATCTATTTTTACTTCTTTTGACTGTGCTTTTGATGTCATATCCCGGAGATAATTGCCAAATCCATTGTTATGAAGCTTTTTCTCTGTATTTTCTAATAAGAGTTTTGTAATATTAGGTCTTATATTTAGACCTTGAATCCATTTTTAGTTTTTATATATGGCCTAAGGGTCCAGCTGCATTCATTTGCATATGAATATCCAGTTTTTCTGACACCTCTGTTGAAGAGACTATGCTTAAGGCATGTGTTTTAATCAACTTTTAAAAGTTCTTAGAGTTTGACCTTTTTTAAAAAGTTTGTGATATATACGCTCCTTCATTCAGCCCTTTGCTGGCCTTGTCTTGCTTGGCTTTCGCACTCAGAGCTTTCAGTACTGGGGGGACGCCATAGAAGAAGCCCTGCTGAGAGGAGCAGAGCACAGAGCCAGTGCGTTTGTGTGTCCACAGTATGTGAGCACTGACCAGGTACCCCCAGGACGTGTTCCCTGGCGTTCTCGTCACATCTGTTTGCTCATCTATCCACACCAGACTGAGCTCACCAGGGCCAGCACTCAGCTTCTAGCAGAGGTCTGGTACAACCATGTTTTACAAATGGAGCTCAGTGAAATACAATTGTCCAATGTGAACCCATATCCAAACCCTAACCAGTCTGACTCAAAAGACCCTTGCTCTTCACCACAATGCTAGGTTCTTGTTTCTCCTGGTCTGCTTATGATAGACTTTGTGGCACCAAGCTCATCACCACAATATGCATGAATGTGAGAAGGCAAAGCAGCTATGTCTTTCCAGCTATGCCGATAATGCCCTCTTGTGGTAACAGCTGTCATTGGGAGTAAATGATGGAAAGCACTTTGCTTTCCAAGAAGGAAAAGCACTATTTACTATGCTTTCACAGAGTTAGGCCTTTAGCATGCCTTTTTGTATTACAGTACTTTACCATTGCACAAATGGTGGCTTAAGCAAGGCTAAGGGATTTGTCCAACTTCCCCTAGCTAATAAATATAAATCTCTACTTTGATTCCAAAACCTTTTCTTTCCAAAGAATTCCAGATAACATCCCTGCAGGAAGAGAGAGCTCATCGAGAGTGCTGCTTCACGCCTGCCTATGCTTCAGGTAATTTATTTTTTAAATAAATATTTTTGAGGACAATATCAACATATGACAGATTCACAAAACTGTCTGAGATACGTGTAAGAATATCTGGGAGGAAG